TGCTATGACTATGTAAACACCGAACACGCCGAAAGAAAGAGTAGACTCTCTTCTTTCATCAGGAAAAAAAAAATGTTTCTACCTTATTCCGTTCTTTAGTAATCAGCAGTAGAACATAGGTTGGCCCGGGTTGATTTCCTTCATTTCCCACGATCGGGACACCAACCGAACTACTGCGATTGCGACACAAACTCTGTTTGAGTGTGAGTTGCCTTAACTTCCTGGACTTGCGTCTCACCGGCGACATGTTCTCTCATAGCGAACCATTACCTTTTTCTTATTTGCCTACAGTCTATGCTCATCTCCCATCAAAAGTGGCACTGCCCCCTAGAGGGTCAATTTGTTACTACATACTCTGTCTAGAAGCCGATATTTACGGACAAGCTTTAGCAGATCGTCCCCCAGCCACTCTCGTTGAAAAACATAAAAGACGTCTATAGACGTCTTTGGCAGCCAATGAGTTAAGGGTCATTTTTAAAATAAAAAACCCCTGTCCTGTTCTCTGACTGCAGGCTGGAGGGGAGTCTGTCTGGAGCCTGCAGAGAGGACGTGAACAAACACAGGCCGGTGGTTCTGGATTCTTTGTCAGTCTGCTTTCAGGGTGGTCTGCTCAGACTCATCTCTCCTCATGAGGCGTGCACGCACGCGAGCGCTCTGAGTGAGTTCTGCCCGTCTAAGATGTAGATCAGCTCTTCATTTACTTTCTGTGCTCAGGCGGGAAGCAGCGGTTTCTCCGTTCAACCCCTCTGCAGCAAACCTGGCCTCCACAAATCTACCAAAACCTCCCCAAATTTTCCTAAACCTCCCCAAGTCTCCCCAAATCTCCCCAAATCTTCCCAAACCTGCCCAAATCTACCCAAACCTCCCCAAACCTTCCAAAAACTACCCAAACCTCCCCAAATCTACCAAAACCTTCCCAAACCTTCCTAAATCTACCCAAACCACCCAAAATCTCGCCAAATCTTCCCAAACCTTCCCAAATCTCCCCAAACCTCCCCAAATCTCCCGAAAAAACCTCCCCAAATCTCCCCAAACCTCCCCAAATCTCCCGAAAACCTCCCCAAATCTACCCAAACCTCCCCAAATCTTCCCAAACCTCCCAAAAACCTCCCCAGATCTACCCAAACCTCCCCAAACTTTCCCAAACCTCCCCAACCCCCCCCCATCTGATTGCTCTGGAGCAGAACAGAACAGAGGGAGCTTTTCCATGCAGGAGCCTCCGCTCATTTAGGCCATTAAACCTCCTCCCCTTTTAGACCTGAAGAAGACAGAGTTTCTGGTCATGTTCTTTGCATATTGAAGCTTTAACCTGGTTTTTTGGAGATGTTTCCAGAGTATAGTAATCCATAGTAATCCAAGTCAATTACTGGGTAGTCTCACTAGTGCAGATATTTGATATCTAAAGGAAACATATTCCAGGACATTACCATTTTTCTTATGCTGTTTTGTAACATATAAACTCCTATTATATGGGTTTTTTAAAATATCTTAAATGGAATTTTTCTTTAACTTTGCCCTTTGTACACTATATAAGATACTTGAACCAGAATTTCCCTGAAGGAGTAATCCCAAGGGATCAATAAAGTTGAGTCTAGTGACTAATCTTTACACTCATTCTGAGGAAGATTGATCTGAAACTGATCACAGTTAGATCATAAACTTATCTGTGGACCGCCATCTTTGGTTCTTTGTGATGAACAGATGTGTTCACGTTTTCCTCCAGCTGTTTCTTTTCAGTACCTTTTGCTGCCATCGGGTTCAAGACGGGCATTTTTTTTTTTCCATGAAACCGTCGAGTCAACATCTGCTTTCGGTATCCTGTTGTGAAACAAATATTGGTTAATAAGGTTTGGAAATCACATCATTCTGCTGTATTTCGCTATAGAAACAGTGACTCCAGTTACTGCCTAAAGACCAGGCGCAGTTACAGCTCGTTTTGTGTTCAAACTTGTGTTTTCTAACCATCATTCAGTGCACAATTATGCCACTTAGTCACATTTGTACATTGCATAAAGCCTTGGGGACTGAGCTACTCTACATTTAAGGTGGAATGACGGTTACATACAGAGATTTTCCAGCAAGAATATCACAGATCGTAAAAAACCTGATCACAAAATCTACTGGATGTTAAACTAGATGCGAGAAATCCACCTTTTTTTTCATGCCAGATGCAAATATAATGCTGATTAGATAAAGATTGAGCTATTTGAACAGCATTTGGATGCTAACTCAGGCCTGTACGGGATGGTGTCCCCTTCCTTTGAGGTCTGTTATCGTGAAGAAACGGGATCGGCTCTACTTAAACCAGCGTGAGTGACAATTACAGCTCCCATTAAGGTGTATGTGTCAGTGTGTGTGTGTGTGTGTGTGTGTGTGTGTGTGTGTGTGTGTGTGTGTATTCAGAAGCACATGGCTCTCCCGTTAGCTTCGTATCCATGCTGGACTTGAGGAGCGTTATTAGCTCTGATTTACTGCCGTGTCTGTTGTGAGGACTGTAATTTTTCTAAGTGCAGTAATTAGGCCTGTTTTCAAAAGCGTGCAGGCATGTAAAGAGAGAGAGAGAGAGAGAGACAGAGAGAGAGAGAGAGAGAGAGGTGCTATTTGTGGAGAGGGAAAATTGCTTGACAGCTTCGTGTGAGTAATGCCGGCACGAGGAGGACAAATAGGCCCCGATCCTCGAGCTGCCAATCATCAACCGGCTATTTACTATTTTACAGCCTCTTATCTCCGGGTGGTTATTTTTCTCTAGAGCTGTCTAAATAGTTTTGTATTCTGGACCGAATACAACCGATAAGTACGTGTACGTCTTTTCTTGGCTGCTTCCCAATTCTTTTTTCTTAAAAAATGACATGAAAAGAGGAATGCCATGCGGGGAAAACGCATGCCACCCTCCTTCTTTTTCCACTCGGGCCGCACTCTGCCGTGATTTGTTACCCCGCATAGGTCTGGAAAGTTCTGGAAAAATTTACGAGCCTTCACATGTGAAGATTGCAGATGTAACTTGGTTATTGAGGGTCGGAGAATATAGGTCTGCAGCTCAGTGATGTAATGCAGGCTGACGCTTTTAATGCAGAAAAATCCATTAAAAAATCCAGCGGGCTGAAATCTCCCCTCCATGTAATCTCTGTACATGGTTTGAAAAGGAAGGGAGGACCGGTGAAAATTTGGCAGGGAGAGCTCCCAGACACATGGCAAATAGATTGGAATCTACAGTATTAAAAAGGGGATGGATATCTGTGTGTGCGAGAGGCTCCTGAGTGGTGGAGATCTGATCGAATTCCAGGTGTCATTTGAGCTTCTGAAACAAATCACTCCACAGCGAGCTGGAAATTTAACAGAGACGTGTCACGCCGGACACATAAACTCACTTATTAGACGCACACTGTGTGTGTTTGAGTCATTCTGCACCAGTGCAGCAGGACATTTGCTCAGGAGCCAAAAACTTTGGAGGATTTGGGGTGAAAAGAAGCAAAGACCCAAAGAGGAAGGCCTTAAATGCAAAGGGCCGATCAGAGCAAAAAATGCTTCAAACCAGAAAAAAACACCCAAAAACCAAACAGCAGAAGCCAACAAATCACCAGAAACTATGAAACCCTCAATAAACATGCAGCTTTGCTTCTTCTCCTTCATTGTTTTTTGCATTTTAGCTGCAGGTTCAAGTTAAATCTGTAGAAAAAAGGACCAAAGAGAATGAATTAAATGTGAATTTCTCCAGTTAAAGCACACTCTAATCCAGCTCGGGGACTTTGTGAGCTGCTCCTCTATGGTTAGGAGGCTGGAGCTTGTTGTTTTGACGAATGTGGGAACGGGGAAGTGTTTCTGCTCCTCCTCGCCACGGGGGGGGGGAGGGTTGTGTCCTCCAGACCCCTGAAGAAGCACTAAAAAAACCGAGGAGCAGCACTGAAAAACATTCCTTTCCTCTTCTGATTCGGCCCTCAGAGGCGAGTACCGTCCAAATCTTTTAATTCTCCTCGAACTCTGGACTGACCGGGTCCTGAACTCGGACCAGAGCGTCCCGGTTTGACCCCTTTGGAGCCGGGAAGGGACAGGTGGCTCGTGTTTGGGCTGCCCCAAGTCAAGTTTCCGCCTTTTTTCCAACACGTGTTATCAATTTATTGGTGTTTTATGAATATTTGCAGCAGCTGTTGGTCTTCCTCGTGCAGCAGAACGCTCACAGTTTTGTCATTTCTGGCTCCAGAAACTCACTCAAATCTTTAGGATTTCTGACTTTTTCCACGCGAAACTGAAGAGTCACCTTTTATTTATTATTATATACCGATGTCTTCATCCATAAAATACATTAAAAACAGCCAAATCTCTGCATGACACATGGATTTTTTAACATAGAGCAGCATCCAAAGATAAATTTATGTCAACACACGATATTTTAGGGTGACTTTAGTGGGGTCGGCAGCCTTTGTTTGCATCATATTCCTGATTTTTACCCTTTCGGACGCAGAAAGAGACGATTAAAGCCACGTTTTATCAATCGGAGCCGCTCAGAGACGGAGAGGAGCGGGAAGAGCCCCGGTGGTCAGCGGGAGAGAGCTGGCCCGCCTCGGAAATATGTATTTACATTTCTGCGGCTTTTACGATCAATGAGATGTCGAAAGTTCGAATAAACCTGGAAGTGTGTGGTCCGAAAGATAGCCTTCCCCTGACTGATGGAGACCTCGGAGGGGAGAGCTGGAGCCTGGGCTGCCGAGGAATTCCTGAGAAGTGAGGCACGTGTCTGAGGATCGAATGGAAAAAATGATGGACTTGAAAAAAATTCCTCCTTCGTTCGCTCTCATTCAGAAATGTGTCGGGCACCGGCTTCCAGAGCAGCACGAGCACAAACACAGACTTTGTGTCTGTTTACGGCTCAAAAAAAGAACCAGAAGACACCCGGAGCTGTTTACTGAAGATGAACACCGGACTGACAGTCTGAAAAACAGCATTTTTCTGCCAAAAAAACTGGTTCTGCTCCTTTAAAGCCCTCAGACCTGCATGGGGAAACCTCCTGTGAGAAATGTCTGACAGCTAATTCCACTTTCTGTCTCTAAGTGATGGGAGTTAGTCTGATAAAGAAGTCTTAAATTGGATAAATAACTCCTAAAAAGTTCCCGTTCCACTAAATTACAGCAGATCTGCTCCTAAAATGGACTCTTTGAGCTCCCAAACCTCTAGATTTAACCCCTGTGAGCCCAGATAATTTCTCCTCTGCTCAGTTTTAAGATGAACTTTCACAGAATTCCTGTCATTTTCTGCAATTTTGTCCCTCCGCATCCTTTAAAGATCAGATAAATGTCAGCGTTCCTCATAAATGTATTGGTGTTTTATGAATATTCCCAGCAGAACCCTCACAGTTTGTCATTTCTGGCTCCACAAACTCACTCAAATCTTTAGGATTTCTAACTTTTTACACCAAAAACCGAGGATTCACCTTTTTTTCATTATCATATACCAATGTTTTCATACAAAAAATACATAAAAACAGCCAAATCTGTGGATGACACATGAATTTTTTAACATAGAGCAGCAACCAAAGATAAATTTATATCAATGCACGATCTTTTAGGGTGATTTGAGGTCACTTTAGTGGGGTCGGCAGCCTTTGGTTGCATCATATTCCTGATTTTTACCCATTCAGCCGCAGAGATAGCCGATTAAAGCCACGTTTTGATCAGTCGTTAGTTATTAAT